CAGGCTCCATGCTGTCAGTGCAGAGCCCCATGTGGGGCTTGATCTCACCCACTGTGAGATGATGACCTGAGCTGAAATTAAGAGTCAGATGCTTACCTGACTGAACCACCCAGGAACCCAAGTTTAATTTTTAAAAAGCCATAAATGCCTTTTCCAAACCATAGAGACAATTTATTTGACAAATACGTTCTGAGCACCTACGACATGCCATCCCCTGCTCTGGATGCTAGCCTCCCTTCTGTTCTCATTCTCCAGCATGCACAGAAGTAATTAACCAAGTGACAGTGCCATTTTCAGTTTTTGTTACTCCTCTTTAACAGAAACACAGTAATAAAAATAAACCATTGGAAATGAAATCATGAGCGGCCTACTCCAAAATAGGAGTTTCTTTTGTGGTTTAGCTGTTCAGCTTTCCGAGAGCCTGAACTCAACCAAATGGATACCCTTCACTTCTAAGTAAGGTTCTGCCCACTCTTCTGTCTGAGCAGAAATGCACAGAAACCACAGATTCTCTCCCATAAAACCTGGCAGTGTTTCTCAACAAAGGCAGGATTAGAATGTTGATCTGAACAGTTTCGTAGAGGGTATAGTTCGTATGTCATGCAGGACAGAGTTGACACTTGCTTTATCTTTGTGCAGCCTGAAGCCAGGGTGTGTGTCTTCATGACCATACTAACGCCTCGATTTCAGCCCCCACGCACCCTCCCACCACAGCAGGACAGAGCAGTCTACAGCCTCAAAAATCTGCACAACCCTACACTGAGAGCCTGCTGCAGTATGCTTAGCACATCTAGCCCCATTCACTAATTATCTACAGTCAATCATAAAATAATGAGTAAATTACCTGTGTTCTACCCATCCTCTTCTCTTCCTTCACTGTATAAACCCAGCTCTGCCTCCATCAGCTGATCACAGCCAATTACTCTGACCACAGCTGTGACTTCTCTTCTTGACTGCTAGTTCCTGGACCAACGAGTCCAAAGTGTCTTCGTGTCAGCCATCACTTTCAGTTCGAGGGGACCCTTGCTATGACCCCCGGCAGGTTTGCAACTTCCTTTTGGGACTAGGACCTCCAGCCTGCAGAGCAGAGAGGTATACACAGTGCCCCCCCAGGGGTTCACTGGGAGTAATATGCAGTGTGACCATTCCCACCTCTACCCCTTTGTTCTCAGGCATATGTATATCTCCTGTTAGTGACACAGCACCATAAAGAGAGCTCTGATTTAATGCATATGCAGCATTTTGGAGGATGGGATTCCATGCTTTCAGAGTATTGCCAATAAGCTGGCACTTTGTGCCTTTACTAGTGCATCCCAGTGCTCCAGGAAGACAGCTGTGCTGGGTGGTGCACTGTGTGACATAAATAGATTCTATGATCCATGGTGCAAGCCTATATCCCCTTCACAATGAAGTGGGTTTCCTGATCAGATACTGTGTTATGCGGGATTCCATTCTAGTTGGGCAATCAGAAATCCTCTAGAGATTGGTGAATGGTGTTGACTACAACTCAGAGGTCAGGGAAAGCATGTTCATACTCAGAATAAGTATACGCTGGGAAGATGGACAGCTGGCCCTTGCAATATTGAAGGGTCCAATGTAGTCAGCTTGTCACAAAGTAGCTGGTTGATCTTCTTAAGAAATAGTGTCATACTGGGGCTCAGTGTTGATCTCCACTGTTGGTAATTCAAAGACATTTAAATACAGCAATAGCTAGATTGGCCATGATAAGGGGTAATTCATCATGTTGTCCAATGAGTAGTCTTGCTGTCTGCCACTATTATGAGGAAGCAGATATGGAGTTATTCCAAATGCTAAGTATATTAGTATAAATTAAACATTCAGGGAATGGGGAAATGAATAATGGAGGGTCTGCAGATCTAGTGAACCATTCCATTTCAACTAGGATTCTATTTGTTACCTGGCCCCAAAGATTCCACTCTTATAGTCGGGCCAAAATGACACTTCAGGTCTCTAGGTATCATGTCAACATAGAGCCTGTGCCTCAGTACTCAAAATGTCTGTATATTCTTCTTTCCCCAGTGTACAGTCACACAAATAAGTGACCATAGGTCCCTTTGGGGAAGGACTAGAAGAATTATTACAGTGCAGCCTTACCATGTATAATAAGACCAGGCTCTATGACCACCTTTCCTACATCCACTCTAGCATAGTTGGAAGCTTCTTTGTAATGCAGGTGCTCCTCTCACCAGTACATTCTTGATGAGTGATGTGTCTTCTGAGTCCTTCCATGGAATATAATTCTCTGGTGGGTCTTCTGGCTTTACATAATATATCCATTATAGCATGCACACTTTACTTGGCCTTTTTATTTTTATTTTTTCTGCTGTCTGCCGGGGCAACTCAGGCATTTCTCTTTTGCCTAGGAAAGACCAGCACTTTCTCCAGACTTCTAAGAGCTACCCTGGCAATGAATTTGCCTTGCCTCTTGGGTCTTTGACAGAGTGTTATATCCCATGTTCCAAGGAAGTGACTCTAAGTCAATGAATTCTTACTTATCCTGTTTTAAGTACCAGCCCTATCCATCAATTAGCAGAGAATCCCTACAGCACTGTTTTGAGAATGATTCTGGATCACATGATCAATTAGTGATATGTCATGGAAGGGTGAGAGGGAGCTTCTAGACATATATTTTACCATTTCTGATATAGATATCTACACAACTTTCAATCTAAGTACAGAAATGACTAGAGATAACCACAGCAGCCTAAAGTCTCTGACTTTGGTCTCAAATCTTGGCCTCAGTTCCTCTGTTCTTTAGCCAATTAAGTTAATGAAATTGATAGATCATGCACTTGATTTTTTCCAGGCATAGATGTTGAAAGGGGAAAGGAGAAGAAAGAAAAGAAACCTGGAGTGAAAGTGGAGTGCTGTCATTGCTGGTAGGGAGGTAACAAGAGGTCGACATTATAAAACAGTGGGTACAAGAAGAGGGATTTTGAGGGGCTTCTTAAAGATAAATATTTTCCTTTTCTCAATTTTTCCCTTATCGATCCTCACACAGTCCTTATTTTGGTACAGATCTAAACCCCCTTAAAACTCCTCTTCTGTGACTTAAAAGGTCAACTGTATGGTTACCAAAATCATTTTAGTCATTACCAAAATCCTTCCAAGGTGGTTACATCTGAGTGGTAACAAGACCTAATAATAAAAGTCAATGAACTCCTGCCTTGCCTTATTTTTCCTTAATGGCCACCTGATAAATCAGAAGGAAAAAAAAATCTCCCTAGGAATTGATTTCTATTGTGGCAAGGCTGGAAATTTGAAAGAGACTAAAGTTAACCACTTGCATGTTTTTGTTAGACTCTTTCACAGGACTGGTTAACATCTTGACAGATATCATTTGGCGATTCACTGGAGATTTTATGGCACCTGATCTCGTTTGCCGAGTGGTCCGCTATCTGCAGGTATGTAGCCCTTTAAAAATATGAGGCAAAGTGACAAGTAGTTTTTGGAGTCTTCACAAGGAAAATAATATAGAACTAAACACTTCCACACAATGAACTGCTCACTTTCTCCTAGTTGGAAGGATAAGCCAAATTGGTAAGATTTTTAAATTTCTTTTTTGCTAAAAATAATTAATATATAAAGCAAACATAAATAAGCATTAATAAGAACATAAATATTCACATTTTAAATTGGGGGGGCGGTAAATATGAAGGACTTTGACATATTCTGGCTTTCTTGGTCCATTCAGGCTACTGTAAAAATACCACAGAGTAAGGGTCTTACAAAAACAACAAACATTCATTTCTCACAGTTCTGGAGGCTGGAAGTTCAAGATCAGTGTGCCAGCAATTGTCAGGTGAGGGCCCTCTTCCAGGTTACAGACTTCTCATGGCAGACGGAATAAGGGACCTCTGCCAGGCCTTGTTTATAAGGGCACTAATCCCACTCATTCATGAGGGCTCCACCCTCATAACCTAACCACCTCCCAAAGGCCTCACCTCCTACCATCATCACACTGGGCATTAGGATTCATATGAATTTTGGTGGGATACAAACATTCAAAGTTCTTTTTTTGTTTGTTTTTTGGTTTTTGTTCCTTTAATTTTTTCCTCCTGAAACTAACACAACACTGGCTACTGTTCTTTTTTTTTTTTTTTTAACCTGCTTAATTTTTAAAAAGCCATAAATGCCTTTTCCAAACCATAGAGACAATTTATTTGACAAATACGTTTCGAGCACTTCCAATGCATTATGCCATCCCCCTGCTCTGATGCTAAGGCCTCCCTTCTGTTCTCATTCTCCAGCATGTACAGAAGTAATTAAATTGGGTGACAGTGCCATTTTCAGTTTTTTGTTGTTACTCTCCTCTTTAACAGAAACACAGTAATAAAATAAACCATTGGAAATGAAAATCATGAGTGCCTACTCCAAAAATAGGAGTTTCTTTTGGTGGTTTAGCTGTTCAGCTTTCCTAAGAGCCTGAACTCAACCAATGGATACCCTTCACTTCTAAGTAAGGTTCTGCCCACTTGTCTGAGCAGAAAAATGCACAGAAACTACAGATTCCCTTTCCCATAAACCTGCAAGGCAGTGTTTCTCTAAACAAAGGCAGGATTAGAATGTCTGAACAGTTTCCTCAGAGGGTATAGTTCTTAGAGGTCATGCAGTGACAGAGTTGACACTTGTTTATCTTTGTGCAGCCTGAAGCCAGGTGTGTGTCTTCATGACCATACTAACGCTTCATTTCAGCCCCACGACACCCTCCTCCCACCACAGGACAGAGCAGTCCATACAGCCTCAAAAATTCAACCCTACACACTGAGAGCTTCCTGCTGCAGTATGCTTAGCACATTCCAGCCCCATTCACTAATTATCTACAGTCAATCATAAAATAATGAGTAAATTGGCCTGTGTTCACCCATCCTCCTTTCTCTTCTTCACTGTATAAACTCAGCTCTGCCTTCCATCAGCTGATCACAGCCAATTACCTCCCTGACCATGCTGTATTTCCTCTCTCTCTTTCTTGACTGCTAGTTCCTGACCAACGAGTCCAAAGTGCTCCTGCAGTCAGCCATCACTTTCAGTTCGAGGGGACCCTTGCTAAGACCCCTCCCCGGGCAGCAGTAAATCTCCTTGGGGGACTAGGACCTCCAGCCTGCAGAGAGAGCAGAGGTATACACAGTGCCTCAGGGCTACTGGAGTGGCCATGCAGTGTGACCATTCCCACCCCCTTTGTTCTCTCAGGCATGCATATCTCCTGTTAGTGACACAGCACCATAAAGAGAGCTCTGATTTAATGCATATGCAGCATTTTGGAGGAGGATGGGATTCCATGTTGCAGTATTACATTGCCGGGTGAATTTGTGCCTTTACTAGTGCATCCCAGTGCTCCAGGAAGACAGCTGTGTTGGGTGGCACTGTGTGACAGCAACAGATTCTATGATCCATGGTGTACTATATCCCTCTCACAATGAATATACCCTGGATCAGATACTGTGTTATGGATTCCATTCTAGTTGGGCAATCAGAAATCCCTTAGAGATTGGGTGAATGGTGTTGACTACAACTCAGAGGTCAGGGAAAGCATAAAACCATACTCAGAATAAGTATAATGCTGGGAAGATGGACAGCTGGCCCCTGCAATATTGAAGGGTCCAGTCAGAAGCCGCTACCTAGCTGGTTGATCCAGAGCCAGACTTGGGGCTCAATCTCATGAACTGTAAGATCATGACATGAGCTGAAAATCAAGAGTTGGATGCTTAACTGACTGAGCCACCCAGGCATCCCTGGGATATGTGCTTTTCCTTAATTATTGCTAATATCTATTTTTAGATTAAAGACATTTATACTTTGCCTGTTGAATATACTTTAATGTAAAAATTACTAATGCAAATATATATGCATAAAATAGATGGTACAAAATATTACATATTTACCATATACATATATTATATTGTTAATACACCATATATGTACATACTATGGATTAAGGCACTTCAACTAATACGGAAAGAATGAACTGTTTCATAACTGGCGTTAGAACTGATGTGTTCTGTTTCTGAGCTCTTAAAATTATTTTCCATTAATAATTTTTATTTTGATGCCCATATTCAGGATCTAAATTATTGTAGCTCTAGAGATGTAGAGTACATTTCTGGAAAACCTTATCCCACAGTATTCCATTTGCTAGTAGGGTTTTTAAGAATCTTCATATCTATATTCATCTATGATTTTCATTTATTCTATCATTTTCAGACCTTGGAAATGGAGTTACTCCATCTTCAGAAAATGAATAGAGAATAGTTACAATTAAAAATATTTGGGGTGCCTGGGTGGCTCAGTCAGTTAAGAGTCCAACTTTTGATTTCTGCTCACGTCATGATCTCATAGTTCGTGAGTTTGGCCCTGCCTCAGGCTCCATGTTGATGGTACAGAGTGTACCTGTGATTCTCTCTCTCTCTCTTTCTCTCTCTCTCTCTGCCCCTCCCTCACACTCTCAAAATAAATCAATAAATTTTAAAAGAATAAATAAAATAAAAATCTTTTGTGTTCTGAATATAATCTTGAAAATTTAGTAGATGTGAAAGACCCCTGATTACCATCTGGAACTGGTATTTTCTCAGGGGTTATTTTTTAAAACATATTTTAATTCCTTATTGAAAAAATTTTGCTTCCTTGTAGATAAATGTTATCAATTGCTTACTGTGGCAATTGCTGAGAAATAAATTATGCCAATACTTAGTGTTAGAAGCAGGGATATAGTTGAGCTAAATAGCTCTCAGTTGAAGTAAACTAAACTATCTATCAAATTGACCTAATTGGCATTTACACAACACTTCATCCAACAAGGCAGAATACTTATTCTTATCAAACTCACATGGAACATTCACCAAGGGAAATTACATCCTGGACCATAAAATACACCTTAACAATGTAAAAGAGTGGAAATAGCACAAAGTATGCTCTCAGACCAAATTAGAATTAAACCAGAAATGAATAACAGAAGGATAGCTGGCCAATCTCAATGTTCTGGGGGATTAGACCCACTCTAGGTAACATGTGGGTAAAATTAAACATGAAAATACAACTTATCATAATTTGTAGGACAATAAAAACAGTGCTTTTGGAGAAATTTATAGCATTAAATTCTTGTATTAGTCAAGAAAAAAGACCTAAAATTAATAATCTAATCTTCTACCTTAGGAAACTAGAGAGAACAGACAATGTATACCTAAAGCAAGTAGAATTTTTTAAATGATAAAAACTAGAGCAGAAATTACTAAAATTGAAAACAGTAAATCAACAGTGAAAATCAATGAAACTATAAGCTGGTTCTTTGGAGAGATAATAAAATTGATAAACTTCTAGTGACAGTAAACAAAAGAAGAGGGTTGGCACAAATTGTTAATATTAAAAATGAAAGAGGGTTAATTACTACTGATCCTATAGATTTTAAAAAGATAATAAAGGAATGTTATGAACTATATGCCTGAAACTTTGATAATTTACTTGAAATGGACCAAATCCTTGAAAGACACAATCTACCAAAACTCATATAAGGAAAAATAGACAAGATGAGTAGGCCTGTATCTATGAAACAAATGTAATTAATAATTAATAATCTTCTGAGAAAGAAAGCACCAGGCCTAGATGGGTTTACTGGTGAATTCTACCAAATATTTAAGGAAGAAATTATACCAATAAGTTGCTAATTTTTCTAGAACACAGAAGCAAAGGGAATGTTTCCTAACTCATTCTGTGAGTCCAGCATTATCCTAACATCAAAAACAGACAAAAGAATTACTGGAAAGGAAAACTATAGACCTATATTTCTTGTGAAAATAGATGTAAAATTATCAACAAATACTAGCAATTGAATCAAAGTATTTATAAAAAGAACTACATACCACGGTCAAGTGGAATTTATTCCATGTATAAAAAGCTGGTTCGACCTTTGAAAATCAATTGATGTAATCCATTATCTCAAAAGACAAAGAAGAAAATGTATATGATCATTTCAATAAATACCAAAAAATCATTTGACAAAATCCAATATCAATTCATGATAAAAACTCTCAGTAAACTCTTCATGGAGGAAAATTTCCTGAACTTGATACAAGAACATCTACCAAAAGCTACAGCTAACCTCATACTTAATGGTGAGAAACTGGATGCTTCTTTCATAAGATTGAGAGCAAAGCAAGGATGTTCACTCTCACTACTCCTATTCAGCATAATACTGAAGTCCCACTAACTCAACAGGACAAGAAAAATAAATAAAAGGTATACAGATCAGGAAAGGTGAAATAATATCTTTGTTCACATATGACAAGATTGTCTATGCAGACAATCTGAAAGAATTGACAAAAAAACAAAACCAAACAAAACCACAGAGAACCTATGGGCTTATTAAGTGAAAATAACAAGATTACAGAATATAAGATTAGTAAACAAAAGT